AATGTTTATATAAAGGATGGGCTAAAGCCAACGAATTTTCATGGTCGATCAGGGAATGAAAAAGCATACATTTTCCCCCTAAAATAAAAATAAAATAATGCCGGGATAGATAATGCCATAATTAACAGGGTATTCCGCTGAAATGAAATATAACTAAGATCATGCTTCGATGCTTTTTAAACTCTGAGATAGGGCAGTTCAAAGAAAATAGCGATAGATTTTATAAATTATTACTAATATTGTAAGCGATAATACATATTTTTAAAAGAAGCTTGAAAAATTATACTTTCTTTGCAAGTTTCACTAACAAATCATAAATGCCCATGAAATACGATCTCTACTTCATGTAGACTGCAAATGTCAATCATTTTAGGTGCATTAGTGACAATTTCCTATTTAAATATATAACGCATCGCAAGGGTGTATAAAAATGATCTAAGACAGAAAATAATAAAAAAACATTACACTAGTTTAATACGATGCGATATATACCTCAAAAATATATAAATTATCATTTTACCTATACTTGCAAAAATTATTGGATTTGCTAGTCGTTTTGAGATTATCGGACCCTGGCTTTATGCAAAGTATTACCAAGATACGCTAAATGGGTAAACGGAGATATTCAGAAAATAAAATAGTAATCACCCCAAGCTAACTACATTATAATTAAATTCATAGTAAAAGTGTGAAATTCTTCTCATTTTAACTAATTTAACTCTCACTTCCCATCTTATGTTAAAATAACTCCCCGTCTAACTTCAGCTGGCCGCCTGGTACACATTCCTTCAATTGGGCAGTCTGTTGCCAAATTAATTCACATATTTTTCCTATCTTTCTTTTTCGCATACTCTTCAGTTAAGTATATTCTATACTTAGTGAAAGTGGGTATGTATAATTGACCTTAAATGGAATAGTTATGACGACATTCCTTTTTTGTTAACAGCTCTGATAAATTGATCAATAAGCCTATCTCAGTATAAGACCTCTGCGAGATTTCACTCTTCATAGAACAGGTATCGTCATGACTCAAGCTTATTCTTAAAAAATGTAAAATCCACGGATACATATGAGTTAAGGACAAACAAGACACATATATACACACCTAAATGTATATGCAAGTATACAGATTTTCATAAAGAGTATTAATCAAATTTTTATATATCTATTTATATGTGTTTTCTCAGTTTTTCTTTGATTTTTGAGTCGATGTAGCATGTAAGCTAGAGTCAGGGGGTCTTCTTGACTCACTGCTGACTTTTATAGGAATAAGGTCCAGCTCGGACAATACCCGTAGAATTATGGAGGGAAAGTAAAGATCAGCCTATTTTCATCCAAACCAAAGATCACTCTAATTGGCTCTGTGTTCATTTCGTCAGCTGCTATTTTCTGGTAGGATCTGCGCACTTTAATACTAACTGGAAGTCATTCCCATAACGTTTTATGCTCTCCTTTCTGTTTGCACCAGTTTTGACTATTTTTCTATAATACTGATAGCTGATAATACCTGATTAATTGAAGAGCAACCTTGACTACGACAGTGAAATTAATTTATTTGTGCATAATAGAGTGCCATTTTTACACACGATAGTGTGATTTAACCTCGACTTCTCTTCTCATCACATCCTGCATTATTTTTGCTGTATATGTGTGCTTCAAAAGGCAACCACGTTATTCCATAAGCCACCAGATCATGGCATTTATGTAACTTCATCTACAACTCGAGCAGATTCACTTTCAGCGTAAGTAATAAAGTCATTCGTTATTGGTACCTTCGACAGAAATTATGGCTTTGATAGTTGCTTTATACTTTTTAATAGGAAAAGTTCTGATTTTTTAACAGAACGCTCGAAAAATGGGCCTAAACTTACACACACTTGGTTGTAACAAGAAAAACCAAATTTAGGAAGAATGAATCTGTTTTGATATTTTCCTATAGGTGAATTAAAATTCATCAGTCTTCAACGTGAATGGATGTTTAACTTTGATTTCGTACAACCTATGATCACATGTCTCATACCTAAGCGCTAAGTCCGCTGTTCAGCAACTTTTCAGACGTGGCAACTTTAGCAATTTTAATTTATTCCTGAGCTCAACCCATCGTCTGACTCCAATACGATAAAATATGGCTATCCAACATAATTTTCTAAAATTAGCCCAACCAAGAGATGTATACTAAATACGCTTTCTCGGCCTGGGTTACTCATATCTTTTTGACTGGACGCCCGCTATAGGTTCCTTCATATTGCTTTACCCAAATAGCCACTTGAAGCCTACCATAAATTCTTATTTGGTCATTGATAAAATTGTACCTCTCTCTGCTCTCTGCTCAAAGATTTCAACACGCTATAATTTTTTCATGATGGATTCAATGACCCTTAAGGCCTTAGGCCACATTCCACCTGAACTTTCCAGTCCGGATTATATTCGAACAACTCCGGTTTTAGTGCTACCATATATAGATGGATTACGAACCGATAGTGGAGCTTTTCTCATAGTCTTAAAAGTAAGCCTCACTATGACATTGTAAGAAAAACTCCTATATCTTGAATCACTTAAAGGAATTAGGGCGACTATGCTTTTATCAAATAATTAAAATTGGAGCAACCTGCTTGGGCCAACGTAGGAACTAATTTGAAATATTGCACCTATTGTCTGCCATCGCTGGCTACAGATAACTTTCTGCTAGTTAATCTTAGCAGTGAGAGTGAGTCTCCTATAGAAATGAGGCTTTTGAGCTTAGTGGTTCAAAGGTGCTCAGACTTTCTCGTATCCGACACTTATATTTAAATGATGATTAGCTTTTCTTGGCTATGAGGAGATAGAAAGTTAAGCCTATCGGATTTTCTCTACTTTGCGCCTCCCTTCATGGTACACCTGGTAGCCTGTATATCTGCTAGAGGCTTGAATTAGAGGGATACCTAAGCTCGAGGTGGAACCTACTAGGAGTGATTTGGCAGCCAATATTAAAGACATTTTGTTTATAATCAGATGAGAAACGAGTTTCAGGGAATTACAGGTTCATCGATTGCCCGTAACTTGGGCCATATGGTGGGATTATGAGCTTTTATTGGTTACTTAACGAAACCACTTCTAGCCGACTTTTATAGACTTCCGTCAAGTTGCGCGATATTAAAGTAGAACAGACGATTTCAGTGAAAAGTCTCTAAGGGATATTCCGGAACAATCTTTTTTCCCATCCATCAGTCTCCATTTTTATATTTTGTATGCAGACCTTGGTGTGAGTATTCACGCAAATCTAAACCAAGGCTGTTTGACGAAATATCCTGTAATTTAGAAGCGATCGTTTTATTTGTTCCCTCATGAGATCTTTACTGTTGGTGAAAGTGCTCCTACATAAAGCTATGGCATTTCCTCAAGTGGTAGATTAACCCATTGCACCATCTGTCTAAGAAATTCAAGAATATCAGCAACGTACCCCTTCCCTCGGATTGATTGCAGACTTGTAACAAACATTGGGCGACCTCGAATCCAAGTCCATGACACTCAACTACCGAGGGCCCAGTGCAGCGGCGCCGACGCATTCGGATGCCAGATCTGCCACAACCAGAAGACATACAGGTCGACCAGTCTGACCAGCCAGTCCAAATGGTCCTACCAGCTGAGGATTGGAGATTGGGGGCCACTTTTAGCCGTTGATTTGGCCAAAGGCTGGAGAACGGTGGGATAGGAGACTTTTGCAAGGACAATGGAGAATCAGGGAATTGAACCTGACAGGTTCTGTGTTCTTCAGCAGCTCCTGGACAACCGAGCACGGCCTCCTCGTTTTGCTGCTTTACCTCAGAAGACCGACCGAGGACGGCTTCTTGCCATGTTCGAACCTCCTTTTCGTCGCCTCCCACCTCTTCTGTCCCTCTTTCATCACTTGGCGCATTTGAGGAGGACAAATATACCTCGTTGCAATATCGAGTACGCAGCTGCCAGCCACTGGAGCAGGCAGACCATTCGCTCCAAGAGGACCAACGTGAACGATGTCTCAGAGTCTGCTGATCTACTCAATAAAAAATATATGAAAAGCTGAATAGTAGCATCCAAAGTTCTAAGGTATGGGTAGTCGCGGCAACGCAAGTATACGAGGAACCTCATTTAACAATATGATCTAGTATGTGAGTAAAACCCGCTTCGACTTTGTGGTTTAGTTAATGTAATAGACAATAGCTAGCATGTGAACACCTCTCCAGAAAAGTTGGCATTTTAAAACGGTGCACTGTGCAAGATTGGCATACTATAACAGGCTAACAAGGTTGGAAGGATGAACCCTAACAATTATCAAATAGCATGGATGCTTCAAGACAAGCATGACAACGAAAAATGAGGTAGAAGGTTGGCAAGAGTAAACAAATTACATATTAAATAGCAGTCCCTAAATCACCCTTAACCATTTTGGGTGACCAGATATATATTCCATACTTTCTTATATATTGGGAACATATTCATAATAAACAGAAGAATTAAGATGCCAGCTAGGTGCTCGCTTCTTGCTATTAGGGGTAAGCTCACTTTAAATTCTGGAAACGAATACACCTAACTGTGCAAAGGAGGCAGAGATTTGAGTATACGACTAGCCCAATTCGTAAATAATCTGCCCAATAGTTGGACCAAGGTGGTGGCGACAGTTTTATCGGTATTAAAAAATTACCAAATAATTAAGAACTCACTCATTACATATCAATTAAAGCGATTATAAATATGATAGTCGAGATTTTTTACAATGAGTTTACTAGGTCCCGAGATTCCATTGAAATTCACTTAGACTTACCTCATAAAAAGCAATTCAATTCTTGTTGGGATGGCCTGCAGGTTAAACTAAATTATAAGAAAAACCCTACTTTTCTTTGTTTACTGTTGTATCCTAAGTCTTTTTACAATGACCGGCTTGTCGTTTTCACTGAAGTCAAGACAAGAACATGGGCCAACTTATATCCTATTCAAAGGATTGATTGGTGGAAGCTATAAATAGAGGCATACATTCTCAGACGTAATGAGGTTTGACGGGTATATTTGGTGATTTAGGCACTTGGTTGTTCCTCGTATTATTTATCGTAAAAGTGAGCATATATACTGCGTGGGATGCAGCTTTACTCTCGCCCATGTATGCTTATCGCTCCCCCCCAAAATCGAAAGCTGATTGTGAAGCTTCCAAGGTCCAGGCAAAGTTGAAACTGCAATTTGTCCAGGAGAGGAATAGATCTCTGCAGATATCTTGAGTCTGCTCTTACAACTAATTTTACGGTGCAATATGGTTGGCCTCATCATTATAAAATCAAAGCGACTAGTCTTTAGTAAAATTATGAAGAATATAGTGAGGGATGCGCCTCACAGAATTCTGGAAATTCTATAGATGGAAAAAAAGAAATCAACATTGCTTAAAGACATATAGATACTTCAGCATATTCGGCAGCGCGAATAATAAAGTGGATGCGACACAAATATTTATGTAAAATTAGGAAATATTTCTGCTGAACAACAATAAATAGTTTTATATCGTAAAGTTTTAATCTCAGTGGGAATTGGGACTATAAGCAGAGCTCCGTAGATATAAGCAAACTATTTGGGCCAGTTTAATTTTATGCACTTTTCCTCATTTAAAAAAAATTATTTCTCAAGGCAAACTTAGGCTTATAACATATTTCTCTATGAAATATATATAAAAAGTTTAAAAGGATTTCTTTTCGGTAGATCCAGTTATCCTCTTTCTAAAACCCAAAAAAACTTAAATTTATATAAATTAATAGCCTCCAAAAGAGGAAAAAAAATCTATCATAAAATAGTTTAGTGTTTAGAATATAGCCAACGGTCTAGTCA